TGGATGACAGTGGCAATAATATGGATTAGAAACTTTAGTGACCAAGAAGAAGCAAGATAAATATTACATTTCCACTAAAGAAGGTGGCTATCACACCATATTCTTAGGATATGGTACTAAGCTGGGGGGCTGCACTCAAATAAAAAGTCCCACTTTTAAAAGTCCCTAGGTCAGTTAAAAAAAAAACCTGCAAGAAATCCCTACTCTCTAGGTTCACTCTTGACATGGTAGATCAGCAAGGCTACAATGGACAGATTTATCAGAGGTCAGTGAGTAGAAGGGATATACTTGGGAATCAGAAAAGCCATTTTTGGGAAAGCCAGGCATTGAGCTGGATTTAGAGGGATAGGAATATAAGATTCTGGGGGTATTCCTGGACAGGAGTGAAGAATTCAAATTAAAGTAGATAAGGTGAATGAGAGTTTCAGGTCGATAATGAATCAGCAAGATGTGCTCTGAGGACAGACTGAGAATGGCATGACTGCTGAATCCAGTTCATGTTCCAAAGAGTGGGAGATAAAGTTGAAGAGACAGTGGAGGTCACTTTAAAGAAAGACCCTGCAGGCAGCTGGGAGCAATGAGGACCTTTTATGCAAAGGAACTGACAACATGACTTTAAATAAGATAGGCCAGTGGTGGTGTACAGAAAAATTCATCTAGGGACATGGTCTCGTTTCTTCTGCTAAACACACTTCATACTGCATTCTCCAATGCCAAAACTGTATTTCAAGTCATCAGAACTTAAAACTAACCAAGAGGGATAGGCCCCTGGCATAGAAGTGAAGATGTTAGTTGGAACACATGCAATCCATATCAGAGTACTAGCTGGGGTTCAAGTTTTGATTCTCCTCCCAATTACAGCTTCCTATTACTGCATAACTTAGGAGGCATTAGGTGATGGCTCAAGGGCTTGGGTTCTGTCCACCTGCATGGAATTGCAGATTCCGGGTTTCAGCCTGATCTACCCTTGGGTACTGTAAGCAAATATTTGGGGAATGATCAACAAAGAGAAGTTCTCTTTCTTTATCCCTCTGTCTTGTCATCTTCAAACTAAATTAAAAAAAAATTTTTTCTAAATTACAACAACTAAGGACCCAATGTTTTCCTTGAGGGTTTTCAACCTACCAGGATAAGCAAAGAGATCAATTAGGATGTCCTATATCTGCCCAATCTGAGAAGCTTTGGGTAGTGGGAGTGGAGAAGAGACCTAGGAGCCAGAGATGCCGTCTGGGAATAACCATAGGCTTTTCCTTTATTGGGCTGTTCACCAGCTGCTTGCTGCCCAGTCTGTCTGTCTCTATTCATTCCCCTCATTTTACTTCCTATCCTCTTCCCTGTAGCCAAGGGCATTTAATGAGCAGTGCCAAATACAGTAACCTATCATTTAAGCATCTTGTCTTTCGGCAAAGTCATGGGTGTTTGCACTCAGTGGCTTGACATTCTTTCCACGCAGCCATTTCTATCTTTGAGCAATCCATGCACACGTGCATGTGTGAATGACCACTTACATCCCACAAAGAATTAACTGATGTTCAAACAATCAATCTGGTGCATTTTTATTAAATATCATAGGTTAAGTGAAAAAGTAAAGGAGATACTACAAAATAGCCTGCCAGATAGGCATATGGATGGAATCTGTATTATTTGACATCCTCTCAATGTAACTTAATAGAAAATGACTAGATGGCTTACTATTTGTTGGTTGCTTCACAGACTTTTGGGATAAGTTGAATAAAACACTATTCCAGGACTTACAGACAGGTAATGAAAAACATACCTGACTAGATGATAGATACCTCCACTTCATTCTCTTCAGTGCTTAATTTAGGCCTTGCTAAGATCATTTCTTACCTATATTACCTTTCTGTTTTTGCATCTCCCCTTCCCCCAATTCCATTCCATTCATAGCACTTGAGCAAATCTCTTATAAGGAAGCCACATTACATCATGTCTCTCTTTTCCTTTCTTACTCAGTTAAATTCTAAGTTCTTAACCTTAATCTGTATGGTCTCATACGACTGGACTTTGATGTTATCTAATAATGAATCTCCTTACTTGTCTCATTCCACTCATATTTTGCATATTTACTAGAATATTCAAAACATATTCCCACCTTGGTTCTTTTCTTTATTCTCTTCGTCTTGATTCTTTCCCTTACATTGGCACAATTTCCTGTAACAATTTTCTATAGATCTCTGCCCCAAGGTGGCCTTATCACTGAGTCTTCACTGACTACCTGGTAATAACCCTAGCCTTCATTAGCCTACTTTAGGTGACAACATTTATTCAATAGTTGCATTTAGAGGCACAGACATTTATCTGCTTACTATTTGCCTCCCGCAGTAATACTCAAAGATCCAGAGAAGAGAGTCTGCTGGACTTGCTCTTGTATTCCCAGCACTAAGAATGTTGACTGCCATGTGATCAATGCTCAATACTTCTTGACTAGATTAGATGAATGAGAGTTATGCATGAGAATTTAGTGGAACAATGGCAGCATGATGGACTTATGAATGAAAGATATCCATTGTAAAGCTAGAGAGAAGGGAGCTTGGCGAGGGGGACAGGAAATCCCAGTGCTTACTAAACTGTGTAATAAAACAAAATATTAAAGAAAGATTTTAGTTCAACAAAGATGAGGGTGCATTGTACACCCCAGGAAGGAAGAGTTCCAGGGAAACATTTCTTAAACAACTAATGTTTGGGTTGAGTTTTCAATTTTTTATTGTTTTCATTCACTCAATGAATTCTTAATGTAGTTTCTCTAGGTGTTGGGCACTGTTCTAGGACCAGAAAGGATATGAAAAACAATAAGTAAGCCAACACACAAGTAAAGAACTAATACTGCCATATACTGTGTAAAGAGCTAGATGAGTCCTTAGGGGAGGTTCTCTAGGAATGAACATTTGAGTGGTAGCCATCAGAACACAGCAGGTGAAGATGAAGGAGTGAGTATTCTTGGCAGAATGGCTGGGCAAAGGTCTAAAGTTAGGAAAGGCTTGGAGTGTTCAGGCAACCCCAAGGCAGGGAAGCTGGGCAAAGCTGATCACAATGTGTGATCAGATATAGAGACCCTTAATAATGAATAGGATTGAGGAAGTGAGGCAGAAGAGTCAGACAGAAAGCCTGCTAAGTACACAACATGGTAAAAACAGGCATGCAGGCATGAAATAGGTCAATAGTTTCGAGCAACTAAAGAAAACTCATTCCTACTGTGCTCCATATACAAGCAAAGAAGGAATCTGGAAACTGTGTGGGTATATTGGCTTTTTATGGAGCTTTTGGCACCATATTTTGTTGGATTTGAAGAAAGAATTCTCTCTAGAAAACCTATCATCAGGGAGAACAGCTATAATTAATCTACCATAAAAGACTGCCATAAAAAGCACATTCTTAGACAACTCGGATCTTATGCTTTTGAGTTTCTGTTAAGGTACAGCTGGGAGACAACTGCAACCTTGGATAAGTTACTTCATGTTTTTATACAACCTTGGATGTGTAGACTGCTATCACTTCCTGTTGGAACAGGTAAAGTCACTCATGGTGGAGAGCTGGGGCTCAGTTATACATCTTCTGGGCCCAGTGCTATTTCCTTCGCATCCCAGCATCTTCGCCTTACTTATTCACCTTTCTAGAATGGCCCTTGCCATTGATTTCAACTAGAGTTTTTGTCCTTTGGCTACGTCTTACTTCCCTGTGCCTCCTCTCATTCAAAAGCTATCCCATTCTCTGTTTTCCTCAGCTATTTCTTGTCAATACCACACTTCATGAAGGCTGCTGTGTGGTTCAACAGCATCATTCCATTATAGATTAAAATGATGCAAAACAATACACGCAAAATGGGATTAGTGCATCCAGACAAATGACTTCTACTGTAATTGAGTCACCAGAAAGTGTTCAAATGTAAGGGAATGTTGACAGATTGGAAGCTCTATAAAAATTGGTATCCTGTTTTCAGTAAAAGCAGATTCTACAGAGTAGTTAGTACAGAATTCATGACAAGGAATTTAATTTAGGCCCTCAATTTATCAAATAGATGGTGACTTAAGAGCAGCTATTCAATCGGTGTGTCCTAATGGCCTGCTGCTGACTGACGTTACACAGTGAGATGGAAGGCATTTAGAAGCAATTACTTTATACACCGCATTAGAAGGCATCATGAGGTATACCAAGATAAAACACTTATCCAGTAGGAAACAAAAGTAGAGCAAAGATTTCTTCACAACCAATGTATTATCTGTAGTCTTGCACTGAAAACTCCTGTTTCATATTCATCATTTGATAGTGTAAATGTGTAGTTGAGACAGGACCCCCAAGCATCTAACTTATCTATTGTAAATAGTTAAAAAAAATCTGAATAAATCATAACTGTTGCAAGAACTGTCTTTTTTTTTTCAGTCCTTGGACTTCTAAGGCACACCCAATTTATACAAGCACCTTTGCACCAGTGGCAAAATCAACACTGAATTAAAAACTCAGAGTTGTTCAGGAACGTCAGTAGTAACAAATGCAGTTACTGTCCCTTGAAAAGTCGATAGTATTTTTTTAAATAAATCACCAAGCCTTGAAACAAGTAAAAGGATTTTATATGAATAAACTAGAAGGCAAGATAGATGGCAAGGAATGGAAAGCCAGTGAAGGGAAACGCTTAAAAAAGCCGGTCATGATTTGTAGGTGAAAAAGCATTTCTTTGGTACTAGCTTAAACACAGGTGTTCAGCATCATTTACTTTTTGGATAATAATGAGGCCTGTCAAGAAAAGAACTAAAAATGGTTCAAAGAAAAATATGAACCAATACTAGGTGGAAACCAAGAACATTAAAGTTCAGACATCAAAACTGACTCAATATTGTATTTCCATTTCCTAGAATTCTTCTTACCAATGCTCAGAGGAATAAAAAAATTTCAGATATTAACACTTGTCTTCTTCAAAGACAAGTTATGACAAGAAACATTGATTCAGCTGACATAATTAAAAGCGAGACTAGCATTGACATTACCTGAAATTCCAATCCGTAGTTTTCTCTGCAGAATTCTCTCAGTTTAGGATATACATTTTCTCTTAGTGCTTGTCTTTCTGCTCCTGTGTCTGCAAGTAGAAAAACAAATACACAGAAATTGAGTATGTCTACACACATTTTTTTCTTCCCCCAAAAGAAAATAATATAATCAAGTTGGAGTGCTGCCCTGTGCCATGATGCAATATCTGACTGTTGGGATAATTTCAGAGATTCATCTATCAGGAATGCCTGCTGAGAGGAGGGAACCCCAGTGGTAAGTTGTGCTATATGTGATTTTACAGTTGCCTCTTGTCCATATAGGCCATTGCACTGAGCTCTAAAACAGCCACAGCCATGCTGCCTTTGGAAGAAACAGAAGGAACCACTGTGGGTTTATCAGGTGTTCTGGACCCATAGAAGTTTCAAAACACACACACACACACACACACACACACACACGTTATTTGCTGATTTATAAAAAAAGCAGACTGCATTATTGTTGCCTCAAATATATGGAAATAAGTCACCCTGTACAAAATTAAGTACAGCATCTATGCAATCAGCATAATAATAAGATATAAACTGTGAGAGCAAATATTAACAAGTAACAGATTCTACACACTGTGGATTCAATGAACTGGCTGGTGGTTTAAAATTGCACCATTTCCCCCTCCAGGGTTGGGGAGATGGGAATTGTTTCACATGTGCTGTGACATACACAAGTTCTGAAATAAAGTGTTTTTATTATCTCCTGTCATTAAAAATACATAAAGAAATAGAGAACCCAAAGCTACAGGAATCACAGAACCCACGTGTATTTAATATTTTATGTTTTACAGGAGAGAAGATTTCAAAGGCACCTGTGCATCAATAATGACACTGTAAGGAAGACTCCAACAGCGAAAAAGAGGCCGTTCATGCCTAACTTAGCTCAGCATAACACGGAAAACATGATTTCCAAAAATTAGGTTAATGTGTAATCTCATGAAAAGCAGCATTTGCTAAATGTGCTCCAATCTCAGCCATAACTATGAAACATTTGCACACCACATTTATAACAAAGATACCAATTTTAGAAGAATTTCCTTGTTATTTTCAAGCACATCTGTCCATGGAAAGTCAGCCATATGCTGTGTTGACCTACTCTATTTTCCTACTGTTCTCAAGCCTATTTTGAGCAGCACAGAACCAATTATGAGAGTCTGAAATGCAGCTGCAGGCTGGCACAGTGACAGGAACAAGCATTTAAAGGAAATCAGAGCCAGAGAAATACAAGATCTTCTAAATTGCCCTGGGATCCAAATGTTGACGGTCCTTTCCTACCCAAGACCCAATGTGGGCCTGAGCCCAGTAGGAAAGCCTCAGCCCAAATGGGCAGAGCCAAAGATGTGATGACATGGCAGGAGGAACCTACTAAGCTTTTGCATAAGGAATTTTAATCTTGGAATATGGTCCCTTATCCCTTTCCTCATTTTAAAAGCCACAAATGCTATCTTTATGGGAAAGCAGATAATCATTGACCAATTCTTCTAAAAGGCCTTAGTAGAGTTCAAAAACCCACACAACAAAAATCCATTTTTTTTTTACAAATAAACATGCTATTCCATGTGGATTTTAGGAATATATTAGAAATTAGCGTTAGGAATTATGAAAGTAGCAACCTAAGGATTATAGGAGGATAAAAGAAACAAAATTTCGGTTTCCTTAAAAATGTTATTTTATTTCTTAGCTACCTTCTGAGATCTGAAGTGCGGCAGTAAGAAGGCATAGAGATACAGTACCCAGCTGTGCACCTTTGCTAATGCTCAGTACAATCCAGCTGTGTACTATGTTGCATGCAGTTTTTAGTCATTTCTGCTGACAACTCTACAGGTGAAGTGATTACTCCGTTCCTTGGGCAGAAGAAACAGGAAGGTACAGGGCTCAGGAAAAACCCTGTGTCATTTGGTCACTACATCGGAGAACGGAGATTCGGTCCAGGCAGCTGTGCCCCATAGTCTGTTTAAACATGACAGTAAGTAACCGGGAAAAGAACAAAGGTTTTAAAAGGACTCCTGCAATAAATGATGAGTGAGGTAAGGGAAGTAGAAGTGAAATAAAAATGTCTGAGGATACTTGGTGGATTCTTCTTTCTGTAATTTAACTTTTAACAACCAACCCAACAGTAAGTTCTCTTGCTCTACCTCTAAACAAATCCTGAAATAATCTACTTCGCTCACTCTGTTCCTAGAAAAAATATTCATCAACTGTTTGTATTTTCATCTCCATCTTTCCAGACCGTCTCCTTCAGACTGTTCATCAGAGTCCTTCAACAGCTCTTGGTGGACTCCACACTCCGCCTTCCACATGCTTTCTCCACATGCTCCCTGTTCATGTCACTTTAGCAACATTGGTCGCCTTCTGTTTCTTGAATTCTACTATCACTCATGAACCTTTGCTTTGGCTGAAGCTTCCTCTGGGATTGCCCAGTCTTGTGATCATTTAATGACATCTATTGCTATTCCAGGATCAGCATTAATGCTGCTTCCCTAGAGTCCTCTGTCTATAGAAGCCACTGACCTATCTTGTCCTATCTCATTTTTAATGCCTTGCACACTATTCATCAACCATTGCCTTTAAAATTTATTTACTCTCTATCTCCCAATAGAAATGTGAACTCAGAGGCACACAGATCCTTCTTTTGTCTCATTCACTGCTGCATCCCCAGTGATTACAATCATGCTCGGTGAATGGCTGAATGAACGAAAAATCCCACACAGGCGCCCCCAACGAGCAGGAGCTGACAGCAATGCTGCTCTGTAGTTTCCTTTTGAAACAGCATGTTTTTCTGCATCTGCATTATAATGTGTCCTTGGACAGATACAAAAGAAAGAATCTGTACAATTTGGGGGAATGAACAATGGGTTTAGAGAGTTGGTGTCATGAAGGAAGTCAATAAATGAAATCTTTCTTTTCTGATTTCTGGCAGAATATGAACACACTTATAGTAGGTTATTTTAAATCTCTGTAAATAAATGAAGAAGGCATCTGGAGATATCTGATATGCACACTGTGCCCCTTACTTATATAACAAAAAATTACTCATGCTTCCTTGTTTGTGTATTAATTTATGATGATTGGCTCTGGAAATTGAAAAGTAATTAAGATAGCATGGATTAATTATTATGGATGGCAGATAAAGCGGCATAATTAAATTAAGAAGCCTGATTCATACCAATAGCAAACTTGGGTGGTTTGTAATAGAAAACATTTGAATGTCACAGAAAAAAATTAGCTTATAGAATCTCACACATTAAAAAGGTACTGAAAAAATGTAGATCAACGTGCATCTTTACTTTTAACACAGTGTTACATCCATTTGTATCTGTGTAGTTCTTTAATGCTTTAAAAAAATGAATTAACACTTTGGCAGAACTATTCAATTTTAAGGAGTCACTTGCTAAATGAGTTCTTGGTGATTTCAGGGGCAAGGTTTCTAGGTAGACCTGTTACTCACAGGAAGTACATTCATTGAGGAAGAATTATTAATTAATACCATTATCCTGGAAACATCTCAATTTTACCTCCTGAAAGGTTTAAAATACAGCAACATTTTAGGCCAAACTACAAATGAAAGGGTGAAAGAAGCATGCTAGATCTGAGAGCTTTACAGCTCCTACTGCTCCCAGTTTAAGGCAAGGATGTTCACGCTTCCTATTTCAGCTGTCTGGCCATTTATCTGTTTGAATCCCCTCTCTTTACTCACTCCAGTAGCCGAGCTATATTGTTTGCTATATAGGTTGGTTTCTGACTTGTCAATTCCTCAATATTACTTCCTTTCCTCACCAGGGTTCTCTGATAAGCCTTGTGTACTCAAACAGCTACATTCATTCTTCCTTTTTTAATTTATTTCTAAAATTTTATTCATCTGAAAGATTTACAGGGAGACACTGCTCCTTCACTCCCCAGATGGCCATAACAAGAAGGGCTGGGCCTGGTCATTGAGTCCAGGAACTACATCCGGGTCTCCTACATGCGCGGCAGGGGCTCACAAACGTGGGCCACCGTCTGCTGTCTTTCTCAGGCTCTTATCAGGGAGCTGAACTGGAAGTGAAACAGCTGGGACTTGCACAGGTGCCCACATGGCAGGCAGTATCTTTACTCATTATGCCATAATGCTGGCACTGTGTTCTTCCTTATTTTAATATCAGTAAATCTATCTCCAATTTTATGTTCTAAACGTCTTTCAAATTTGCCTGCTATACTTTTCAGAAACAAAATTGTGGCAATTTTTTTTCTATTTTTAAAATTTACTTCTTTTATTATTATTATTAGTATTATCATTTTATAATACAGTTCCATAGGCCCTGGGATTTCCATAACCCTCTGCCCCCTCACTGAGTTCCCCTATATTATTACCATAGTATAGTACTTCATGACCAGTCACATGACCATCATTGCAGGCATGGACAATGGCAGAGAGTCCAGCATCCTTTTGTTAAGATATAGTAAACAGTTTCAGTGGGAGTCCATCTTTGTCTGGAAGTAGAGATGCATATTCCATTGTATTCTCACAACTGGATATGATAGTTTCCATTCCACAGTTACTATACATTGCCTTAAATGAAAAGCCACAATACAAAATCAACAACAGGAAGAAAAATAGAAATTTACAATGCCATGAAGTTAAATAACATGCTAGTAGATATGATAGTCTCCATTTCAGTTACTGTATATCCCTTTAAAAGAAAAGCCACAAAACAAAATCAACAACAGGAAGAAAAAAAATTAAGAACACCAAGAGAGTTAAATAACATGCTACTAAATGACTAATGTGTAGCTGAAGAGTGAAAAAGAAAATCAAGAACCTTCTTGAAGAAAATGATGTTACTGTATGATCTATGAGTCATTAAAGAATATGAGAAAAAGTTTTGAAGAAATGAAAATAAAAATTAAAAAAATCAAAATCCCTAAGATACACTTTCCATTGATCTTTGTTGCTGAGATGTGTCTCCTGTAGGCAACAGATAGATTTTTTTTTTCTTTTAAATTCGCTCCTCTAAACTATGTTTGATTGATGCATTTAAGCCAATTACATTCAGGGTTAATA